TGAGCAAGCCGCCCGAGCGCAACGCGCTTGAGAGGCGCGCTGGAGGCGGTGCGCGAGACGACGCGCTGCATCATGCTCAGCGTAGCTGTAGACGCTCACGTGCCCTTGCCGGACGGTCCGCCTATCAGGCGCGCGTTTTCATCAGGAGTGTGAAAGTAAAGTGACGAATCTCGGCTCAAGACAAGGAGGAGGGAAAGATTTCGTCTCGTAGCCGAGGGCGGACTGGTCTGCGAACTAATCCCCAAAGATCGGGTACGTATGTAAGAGCTACATACACTGAAAGACATCGGTAACTGCCTACCTACTCGAGTAACACAAACCTCTCGTCGTGTGCGTGTCTGGTGTTTATTAGCTCCGAGTAGAGGGGGCGCTCCGCTGCTAGGGGAAACCTGGAGCGCGGACTAACCCTCGGAGACCCGTGTTTACTTTAAGGCCCTTGCCCTGCGAACGCGCACCCCCGGGGCTAGGTAGGTAGGGCTCTCTAGCCCGCAACCCGATGCCAATCATCCGGCCCGCTGGGTGCCGCTTCTTAGCTCCCCGGCCCTGGATGTGAGGCTGATGACTGCACTCCAAGTGCTCCAAGTTTTCTTCTCTCTCCGAGAGTAAGAAACGGAGCCAACCAACCAACGAAAGAGAGAGATATTACTCCCACCAGCCAGACTCCCACGCAGCACTGCGCGTTTGTGCCGCTGTGAAAGAAAGAAAGAAAGAAAACAGACATCCAAGGGAGGGATGGGAGGACGGCACGCCGCCACCACACAGGGATTTTAAGGAGAGGTGTGTGATGCACTAGCCGTCGCCCACCCTAGCTAGTGCCTAGAGCCTAGTGCCGCTGTGTGCGCCAGTCCAGAAAGACACGACTTTCTTTCTTTTGCCCTCGAGAGAGAGATTTAAGCAATACCTTAAAGAGAGGTTACAGGCGGGTAAAGATCCAATACCAAACAACTCTAACACTCACTGTTGGTTTTTTTGCCCTCGTGGGAATAAATAAATAAACAAAGAGTCGTAGAAAATCCATCCAAATCGCAAACATAGAAACCCAAACACACACAGCCACGTGGCATAGGAGAGCAGGAGGTGAAAGGAGGTCAGCACGAGTTCCAAGGACGCACGAGCGAGAAGCACAGCAGAGCAGACAGATGACGATCACCACCCAGCGCACGACCGCCAACTCTCCGGCGCAGGCCGCGAAGAACCGAGTCCGGGGGCCGACGGTCGCGGCGCGCCGGCGCGGCGCAGTGGACGCAGCCCGGTTCGCAGCTTCGCGAGCTACGGGGGCGGCCACGGCACGGCCCGGTGGCCGCCCCCGCAATGTGAGGCCAAGCGGTGGGCATCCGGCAAAAGCCGCAAGACGGGATTCGCGAAGGCGCGGGCCACCTTCCGCGGCGGAGGCCGCAAAAGCGCGGCGGCTGCGGAGAGGCACGACAGCATGATGACAAAAGCACGCTGGCGGGGCAATCGCAAGAATAAATAAAACGGACATTCTACTAGGAGATGGGTAAAGGTACTCCCATGAATAAATAAAAGGGCGCGTCCTCGTTTGACTCGCTTACTCACACATGGCTCTTTCTTAGGCGGCTCCCGTGGTGTACCTGTGTTCGTGCCAGTGCGCGCCGGTGATTTCTTTTTTAGTTTCCCATAAGTAAGTAGGTAGGGAGGTAGGGGCAGGGCAGGGGCCGGTCAGGTTTTTGCAGAATTTCATCTTGAAGAATAGCGAAATTCTTTTCCACTGTGCGCGGTGCGTCTGCCATGCATGCTGCCGCCGCAGTCGGCGCGCGGGTGCTCACCGCGCTCGCGGCCGGGCTCAGCCGCGGGCCACTGGCGCGGATGGCGGAGGAAGCGCTCGGCGCACCGCCGCCTGTATTCGGTGACCTGCCGCTCGGCGACGCGACTTCGGCCGCCCTGCGCGGCGTGGGCATCACTCGGCCGACGCCGATCCAGCAGGCCGCCATGATGCGGCTCTTCCGCGGCGAGCACGCCGTCATCCACTCCGCGACCGGCTCCGGCAAAACTCTTGCCTACCTCCTGCCGCTCCTGCAGCGGCTCCACACTTCGAGGCCCGGTCAGCTCGTCGTCGT